TTCTTTAATTTATGTGAAGTTTTTAACGAGATAATGCCAAATAAGTAAGAGTTTTGCAGAAGTCCAGATTCTACTTGGAATAGAACTTTTGACAAATTTTTTGGCACACCCTCAAATCCTGTTAATTGCTCATAGCAGAACAAGTATTCTTGGAAAATTACTTCATGCACCCTTTTTCTTGCGAGAGCGCTTTTTCAGTCGGATAATTCTTCAAACGCCTTCAGATTCAGAACTTCAGATGACCCTTTTTCCACTTTGGTATCTTCTCACACAGTTAACTCATGTTCCGACTCTTCCCATATTTAGATTTTTACCATAACATCCATTTGACTAAGCTGCAACAGCTTTTAATACTAGGCGATCTTGCATTCAAACTATCCTATTAAATTGCTTTTGAACTTTTGCTTCTGTAGAAATCGCTTATGAGTTGGCAAAAATAGTCGAAATTGGGAAGCAAGCGAATTTGAGCGATTTATAACCCGTACATCTTTTTCTTCGTCTCCTCTTTTTCTGATTTTTTTTTCAGGTACATTTCTGAAAGGTTTTAGCATATTTTCAATTGTTTAGGTGAGCCATTTGTACTTGTGCTACCGCCATGGGGAGGGCTGTACCACTGGCAGCAACAGGAAGTAAAGTTGAAGTGGTCTATCTTCTTTGACGTAGAAAGCTTGAATGAATTTGTACCTGTAATCGAATTCAAAGACTTTATTAAAGGTGATTTATAATTTGGTAAGAGTTTTGGAGAATAAGAAAGAATTACCGTCATCGCTAGGGTTTCTATGATCTCTGAGCAATTTTGCAAGATTTCAAGGAGAGTTTGTTAAAGGTTAACGGTTATGAAATTGCCTCTTAATTGAATCATGACAACTTGAACAAAGTTCCAACTCAGCCAAAATGTATGGGCAAAGTTGTTTTTGCTCTAGAATTGGAAGCACAAAAGTTTTGTAATTTTATTTGGAGAAATTTTTGAAGGATTTTTCATCTGAGCTCGATTGAGCGTTCTTCTGCATGCAAAGTCAAAAAAAATGTGAATGATTATTTAACCAGAACCTATGTTGGAAATGAGAAATAACTCAAGTTTAGAATATGG